AGGAATAAACTAGTTTTATTTAAGAAAAGACTTTTATCGGCTGAAGTTTCTCGGAAAGAATTTCTACTGAAAATTAACAAACGAGAAACGTAACAATATTTATCATAAAAATTATCAGAACAAATGAGAATCATTATCTGGATTTAATTTTTCGGTGAATTCAAATAGGAAATTTAATAATTTTTCTACTTGCAATATATTTTCTCTTATTTCAATCATTTTTGTCAAAGGCGTAACTTACTTTTCAATTTGTTCATGTAAAGATAACCTTTGAATAAAGTTTCGGAGAATTCCACTCCTCATCAATGACCCTGGACTCTACCACCAATGAAATATCAGACCAAACCAAGCTTTTATAGTAGTGAGGTATCGAAAATCGAACCCATAGAATGATAGGTTTATTTTTTGTGAGTGTAAAACACTTAAATACACAAGTTCGAAAGATAACGTTTACTCTTTTACGTGAGACATATGCTTCAAACGATTTAATTTTCTACTAGAAAAACAATAAAAGTGTATAGATGTTCACGTCCAATTTATTTTCGTGAGTATGTAATAATCAATACCTTAATTTACCAGCTTTTGAGATGTATCATTTTCTCAGTAGTAAAAAAACATCTAACTGACGACAGTTGCTAGCAAGTTCATTTCTGATCTTCAAAAGTTCTGCAACGAAACTGCAATTAGTCTATATCAGAAATACTTTATGGTTGTGTGTGGTGGGTTTCAGGAAAGAGTATAGTCATAAATATACCTGTTAAAGAAAAACAAAACAGGATACTTTATATTTACACTGCCACATAAATCAGGCTGATTAGCATGTATAACATTACATTCCTAATTTAAGTTATAGAAAATTGAATAAACCACCAACCAGCTACCAATATCATATTTAAAAGCCTATGGTTAGTAATGCCGCTAAATATATTTCGCACTTTTAGCTGAAGATGCGTAATAAGAGTGATAGCCAATCTTGTTACCTGGCTCTAATCCAGACAATACTCTTGTGGTAGCTGTTACGTGTGTGTGTACTATTTTTTTTCTTATAGCAAAGCCACATCGGGCTATTTGCTGTATCCACAAGGGGAATTGAACCTCTGATTTTAGGGTTGTAAATCCGTAGACTTACCGCGAAGGACCAATTATGCTACTGACTCGTTCCCTTCCTTCTGATCAGTATTAAAAGATAATGGATGGCTATATACCTGAAAGCTATGGCTGTATAGCGCAAGAGGTGCTTTTCATGTTTAAAAGATCAGTAGAGAAACTAATTTTGACAAGTTTCTCAATCTATAATTGAACAAAAAACAAACAAACTGAACAAATTGAACTTTGTTCAGAGGGTAGATATATATATCTAGAGGTTTTAACAAAAATAAAAAAATGTTCTTCTTTCTATTGAATGTTTCATGTTTTGTAGATTTAAATATTATGAGAGTAATTTAACTCAAATGATTGGTAAATCAGACACTTATCATTTCCTTTTTTAGGAAAGCTTTCTTAACTTTCTCTGTTTGGAGTACAATATCATTATTTAATTTCTGTAGTGTAAATTGGTAAATAAAAGACATTTTAAAACTAGAAATTAACGACCTGAAAACACCAAAATTTGTTATTTATCTTTAATTGAACACTCAGCGTTTCGGTTTACAGTTTCTTCTGTTTGCGTTTTAGTGTAACGCTCCTGAAGAAGCTGTAAAGCGAAACGTTGAATGTTCAATTAAAAATAAGTAACAAATTTTGATGTTTTTAGATCATTTATTTGTAGTATTCAAATGCTGAATGTGCTGGAATTATATTCATATGTATTGCATCCTAATAAAGTTTCGTTAACATAAAAAATAATGCTATCCTTATAAAATATACGTCGTTTTTCTATTTTACTGAATCAATAGGTGCGAAACTTTACAAGAGAAATATTAAGTCATGAGAGTAACATGAATAAAGATCATCCACTAATTGTACAATAAGGTTTTGATATAAAATAACCGAACTAATTAAAAAATTCATGAAAAGCAAAATAAATAAATTTTGAGACGCAGGAATAACAAACAAACAATTCGAAACGTTGATTCTAGCCTAACCTACCTGTGAATGAAAAAGTCGCCATCACACAAAACGTGCCAAACCATCCTGAAAAAGTATTAAAGCGATGGAGAATGATAGGCCAGAGAAAAGCAGAAGCTGTCTGGAAGAAAACAATTAAAATTCAGACGGTTACTGTACGTATTCTGGTAAGTTAACGACTTTATTTCTGTTATTGATTAATATAACGAACAAATTCTTTAAATTTTTCCATTTTCACTGTATTATCAAAAAATTATATGTTTAATATTCCATTACTTAAGAGAAACTTCAGTCTGGTAAACTATGAGGAGATTGAACACAATAACCTTGCTTCATGGTAGTAGAAAATTCCTATTTCCTATGACAATGCTCTAAATAAGGACATGCTTGTAACTAAGGTAGTGAAAGAACTACGAATATTTGGGAAACTCTTCAATAAATAGGTTATTCTTTAAAGAAATGTATTAACAAAGATTTAACTTTTCTCTAGCAGAACTCTTAGCTGGACTAATATTGCATTACATTTTATATGATTAATAATGAGTACAATGATTTAAGATGTTTTTTGCTAAACCTGTCAGTGATCTTCAATGCTTACTTACTGAGGCAGCAAAAATCATCCCATAAATCTCAGGAGTATGTTTCGTTCCAAACACTTTAGCAACAGCAGCCGGAATACAGACAAAAACAAGAGGAAATGTAATAAAGAGCACACAAATCCAGATGAAGAACATCACTTTTCCTCCGTGAGAGGACGCCACAAGCGTGAACAACAATATTGTCTGTATTCCCAACAGTAGAAGACTTGTTAACTAAGGAATTATAAAAATATCCATGAAGGTAAGTTAAACTTGAAACTTTTCATAGTTTTTACATTAAAATAGATTTCTAGTGTAAATACATATTAGTGTATCGTAATGTTGTGTAGTATTATTTATTGACGAAATTTGTATCAGAAAAACGGCTACTTTTCTGCCCCCCAGTGGCACAGCGGTATGTCTGCGGACTTACAACGCTAGAAACCGGGTTTCGATACCCATGGTGGGCAGAGCACAGATAGTCCATTGTGTAGCTTTGTGCTTAATTACAAACAAACACCAGATACTTTTCTAGTTAGGGCAACAAAGTATCTTTGGGATTAACTGGTTCTGTACATTGCCCTGACTTATTAAACTGTCCTTAAAAAGACAATTTTCTACATAATACTGTCTGATTGTGAATTTCTAAATTTCAGAACTTTGTAAAAAACACTCTATAATTAACATATCTGTCGCAACTATTACAGAGATTGAGAAAAAGTTTTTCTTTGTTAATTATCATTTAACTCGATTATGTAGATATTTCTTGTCGATAGGATGCCTCCAAACTATGAGTATTTGAAGAAAAAGTTGCTGAGTCTAAATTTAAAAACAGCATAAACTATTCTTTGTTTCTGGTTCAATGTTAGAAGTGTCTTGTAAAATTCAACTTTGTTTGGTTTCAAATTTCGTACCTTTATTAACCCAATCTAAAACTTTGTTTTTAACTCGAACAACTGTTTTCCTTCCTTCTGTTTGTAACGAGATGCTTTATAAAACCTAATTGCGGAATCCGACTTTAAGTTTAAGCATCGAAAACATAATTATAATGTACAATGTGGTGTCATCATTATAGTGTTGCAAGACCTACTGACAGAAGGTTCTAGTTCGTGAATCATTAATTTACTTCGTTTTAAAAGAAACAGATTCAAATTTTTAAATCATTATAATGTAAGAAATCCTCAAGATTTCATAGGCAATGGTGTATTTTATATTGATATTTAACTAACGTATATACAACAAAAACGTTTCAAATATACTTTAAATACATCTTTTATGACATTTTATCAGGTATTAAAGATGTATTCATGTTCCAAGAAATCGTTTCAAATTATATTTGTTTATATCACTTTTACGTGGGAACAAAACAGGGACTAAATTATACTTATTACTTTGTGTATAAAGTTTACCCACCAAATATTCTGTTAATAATTCTTAACAATGTCATATGTGCTTCACTTTACACATTCTTACTTTGTAAGATAATTTATCTTGAATAAAACCCACAACCACTCGGCTGACAGAATGTACAGCTCCAGCTACAGAACCAGTCATGGATAGAAATGTGTCATCTTGTATAAACGTCTGTCCATATGTCTGAAAAACAAAAGATTTATATTATTCAAGTATAGGAAAACTTTTTTTTTTACCAATCTGGTGAAAGTGTCTCAACAATGTCTGAACACCACAATCAGTATTTTGATATATGAAGTTTTGGTCTCATTATGTATCTTAACATGATTCAAAATGAGAATAACATGCAACTTGTTTAATGGAAACTGTAGCTTTGTAATCTAAAATTTCCTTTATCTAGAACTTTAAAACAATCTTTAAATCATATATCGTAATTCGTAAAAGGAAATACGTTTAATTACCTTATAAAAAACATTCAAAAACATGAACGGGACAAAGGAGCAAATACAAGTTACAGACAGAAGGTAAAATTCTTTCATTTTCACAGCCTCTTTCGGTGACACACATACTTCATTTTCACCAATATTCAGTTCGATGTTGGTTGAATCTTCTTTCAATGGTGCAGATAGTTCTTCATGATTTGTTGATGCAAAACCCATTTCATTCATAACTAATCCATCAAGCTCTTCCCCGAGACACAAATTTCTTAACGTTTCGTCCACGTCAGTTGTTTCATTGCATTGTTGTTCTTCCTGTGTTAAAAAGTAAATATTGTTAACTGTTTTACAATACTTAAAGTAACATAACGATCCCTATGTGTTTTTGATCATTATCTGACAAGGTAGATATTGACTAAAAAGCTGCTTTAGTTATTTTATGTTAAGAATAATTGTTTTTTTATTTAACACAACAGCACTGTTAGCACTTATACTTAAACTAATTTACTATATCATAAAATTGTGTAATCTCATAAGTATTTTATTTATTAGGAAATATTAATCTCTATAGTATTATAAGTATAGATTTTTATTTGTCATGATTTAAAGTTAATAATAAAATAAAATACTAAGTGTCTGAGATAAGAAATTATAAACAAGAAAGTACTTAAAAACATAAATACAAAACATATTTTGTATGAAACTTTATTTTATACTACATATATACTCAGTGGAGAGGGTATGAAACGAATAGTAGTTGTGTTCATCAGTTAGCTATTTTTGTTTATTATCTAACCGACTTGTATTAGAGTTGAAGTTAATTGGTAAAGCTCAGATTTATTATATATATCAGCTCCGACATATGTTCACACATCACCTTGCTGTTTAAACTCAAATGAATCTAAAGTCGGCTGAAAGAAACTCGCGCTTCGTTAGCGAATCATATGGAATTTAATTTAGTAAACGATCAGTAAGATAACTTTATAAAGCAAAATGCTTTAACCTGATTTGATACACGTGGTGATTCTTGGTAAAGAAGCTGACCAATCAGTAGAATACTAGCAACGACACCTCCCATCATTAGAAACAAATTAGGCACGTTTTCGAGAATTTCAGGGTTGTAAAAGAATCTGGAAAATATTGAAAAGTACTTTGTTAATTAAACGTAAAGTTTTCCCATACTTTAAGATAAGATAAAAGTACACACAAGTGAATGCAGAGCCGGATTAAGGTATGTGGAGGCCATGAGGATAATATCATTATTGAGGCCCTTTCAAATACCAGAAATATATCAAAAACTTTTATTGTATTAAAAACAAACTGTCAAATATAAGAAATAAATAAATAGATCAACTATCGCGATATTCATAAAAAATATTTGTGGGGGCCCTGAGGCAGCTGCCTCATTTACCTCATGGTTAATCCGGCACTGAGTAAATGGTAGCTTCAACACTTCTCCACCCTCAGGGAACATTTTTGATATTTTGATGTTATATAGCCACTTGCTTAGTCTAAAATTTGGCATATATTTTAGTATAGAAGATATATAATTTTTAAATGTAATTTATGATCTTCAAAGACGTTTTTCGTTGTGAAATATTATTTAAAAAATTAAAACTTAAATATATTATTTTTTACAAATTTTTAACTTATCATCAAAGGTAATAAACCCTCATTTCAAACAAAATCACGATGAGGTGTAAATGTTATCCTTGTTTTGGGAATAAAATTAAAAATAAAGTCCACTCTTTTAAAACTGAATGATATAAAGCATTGGCATATTATAGATATATTTCATAATTCATTTATATTGGGTCTTACATTTTTTATGGAAAAACAACACTTGCAATAAAACTTGTAACTTACCCATCAGAAGAGGGTTGGAGGTTATTGGGATTCACAAAGAACGTCTGTACAATATTCATGAAGAAAGGACATAAAGCAAATCCTGAAGCTACTATCCCTGTTACGAGGCCTTTTTTGTTGGGAAACCACTGTCAACGGTAAAATGTTATTAGTAAATAATATCGTAATGTATTTCGTAACTCGGCTTTTCAAAATACACAATCAACGAAGGAAAAGTAAAGCCGGAACTTAAAACTAGTAATGGTATATTTCCATAAGTATAATAAAGTACAATAAAGTATTCACTAGACATGTTGTAAGTTTTAGCCATTGCTTCTAATTTGAAATTGTAACCATAGTAATGCGGACTGGTAAATTAGTCAATATATTTTACTTATCACCTTTAAACTTCTGATGATTCTTTTATCATTTTACAAGCAAAAATACCCGTCCCCAGTGACGGGAAAAGTTTAAGTAAATCTATAAATTTAAATTATTTCATAGACTTTTAAAAAGGTTAATTGTGTTGCACTCTTGGTTTCACTCAGAGCCAAAGCTCTGAG